CACAAAACCCGATTATTGTGTGATTAGTCAATAATTTAGTGTAACTTTTCAGTTAAGGAGGCCACCTTTGCCTGCTAAAGCTTGCACAAAGAAATGTGGCTAAAAAAAGTAAAATCTTCCAACCCAGATTAATTACCCTAAAAGATATTGGGTAGCCACTGTAGGCCAAGAAAAACATGTTTTTTTTTTTTAATTTGCTTACTAAATGTTGTAATGATTAAAATTATTACCACATGATAGTGGATTTAACTTGCTTTTTCTTTAAAACTAATTTTCATCCCATTTTCCGCTGCTAAGTATGACTAATAATATGTATAAAATTATGGTAATTTGATCATTGCTTTTACTGGTTCAATAGCTCCGGGGCAAATGTCTAAAAATTTTAAGTTCGACTCGAGTTCCATTCATAATCATCAATCATCCCAAATATACCGTGCTTGAGTTCAGATAAATTCAATTGTTAATGTGTCACATAATTATGTTTAATTTTATTTTAATATTAATGATGTTTATTATTTTCTCTTGATAACGATATTTATTTGTATCTTTTATTTTTAAAATTATTTGACTCACACTCCTTTTCTTAAACGATCTTATTTTTATTATTTAGTGTATGATTTATGTTCTTTAACAGTCTTAAAAATAAGTATTTTATATGATTAACTTACTCTAAAGTTTTGTAAACTTTTATTTTAAAAAAAGTATAATTTTACTATATATATTTTTATTTATTCACTAAAATTAACCGTTTTTATTAATAATATTTTATTAAAACTATTTGTAAAATTTCGATGGTGTTTTTCTCTCTCAAATTCTAAGGTTTCGTTTGACTAATATGGACTGACCCGAGTCATACACTTAGTTTTGGTGAGTGGGTTTTCTAACAGGAATTTTTTGTGTACACAAAAGTTTGAACCTGAGATATTATTAAACGATATCAAACTACTTATCGCTTAAATTAACCCGTTAATAAAGTTTCGATTGTGATTTTATGAATAAGTGGTGTATGATTTTGGCTTTTTGGCTATACATTGTAACATTAATATAATTAAAACACATGAAGCACTTTCCGAAAAGTGCATATCTTATCAACGTCAAAACAGCACACTTAAATTCATGAGTTTTTCTTCTTCTTTTTCTTTCATCAAAATCACAAGTAAATGATAGGTTTCATATTTCTACTACTTCGACCTTGATTATTATTAACGATGAATATTATTAATTTAATTTATAAAATTTAAAAATTTAAAATATTTAACGTATAATTATAAATTATTTAAAATAAAATATTAATTATATTATTTTTCAAAATCTTTTTTAACAATAAAAATACTAATTTTCCTTTAAAATTATAAAAATATTGTAAAAAAACAGGAAAATAGGGATGCCCATAAATTATTTAGAAAAATCGAGTAAAAATATAAGGAAAGTAATATTGTTTCATTTGGTATTTTTCCCAAAAATTACCTTTTCGTTATATATTTACTTGTCAAACCCCTTTCAGATATATTTCCAGATCTAATACCCTTTACAAAAAGGCGATGTTCATGCACAACACCTTACGCTGACGTGGCACCACGTGAGGTAAGGCGTGGCCCATGAAGCGCACCATACGCCACGTGTAAAGATTGGGTACTAGTTTTGTAATTGTTTTAAAAATGGTGTCTAATATGCAATTAATTTTTATTAGGGTGATTTTTGTGTAAAAACATCAATTTTTTTTATTTTTTTTGTGTGTGCAAAAAAAAATCTGCATTAAAATATTTAAATATTCTTTTGCAAATTATTTTATAATTCGAAAAAATTTGAGTTTTGCATGAAATTACACAATACGTATAATCTAGTATAGGAAAACTCTGAGAGTAAGTAAATTAAAATATGAATAATTTTATAAAAGTTTTATAACTAGTATTTCTTTTACAAAATGATGATGATGATGATAAAAATATTTTATAATTATAAAAATTATAAATTTCATATATTTTTGAATATTTTATTGATTTTTATAATTAATTGTTTAAAAATATAAAAAAAATATTAAAATAAACTTTTAATTACAATTGAGGGATCAAATGAATTATTATTTATTAATTATTGTTTTTTAACAACAGTTAATAATGTTTATTCATTTTTAATAAAATTAGAATTTAATATTTATTTTATATTTTATATTTTATATTTTAAATTATTATTAGAAAGAATATTTTAAATATATATGTGATATTTTGTATTTACATTCTTTTTATTGAATTTTAATTTTTTTTATTGTATTTTTATTGAATTTTAAATATATGAGTTATAATTCAAATTAATCATTTATTCTGCTATTATTCAAATTAATTAAGAAAAATTATGGTAAAATGTTTCTAAAAGAAAAGTATAAATACATACATGAAAATCTAAAGATTTTCCTTTCTTTATGTTACTCTCTAAACTTGTAACAAAATTCAATAAAAAAAAAAGATGTAAAGCTAAAAAATATCACCTATATATTTAAAATATTCTTTCTCATATGAATTTTAAAAAATATAAAATAAATATTAAATTTTAATTTATTAAAACTGAATACATTATTAATTATTGATAAAAATAATAATTAATAAATAATAATTAATTTGATCCTCAATTGTAATTAAAAGTTTATTTAATATTTTTATATTTTTAAACAATTAATTTTAAAAGTCAATAAATTTTTCAAAAATATATGAAATTTATGATTTTTAAATTATAAAATATTTCTTATAATCATCATCATTGTGTAAAAGAAATACTAGTTATAAAACTTTTATAAAATTATTCATATTTTAAATTACTTACACTCAAAGTTTTTCTATACTAGATTATACGTATTGTGTAATTTAATGTGAAAATCAAAATTTGTCGAAAAAAATATTTAAAAATTTTAATACAGAAAATTTTTTGCACACACACAAAATAAATAAAAAGTTGACATTTTTATATAAAAATCACCCTAACATAAATTAATCAGATATTAGACATCGTTTTAAAAAAATTACGAAAGTAGCACCCGATCCTTTACACGTTACATACGGCGCGGTGCATGGGACGCGCCTTTCAACACGCGGCGTAAGGCGCGGTGCATAGACCGTGCCTTTCTGCAAAGGGTGTTAGATCAAAAAATATATCTGAAAGGGTGTCTGATAGGTAAATATTTAAGTAAAATGTGATTTTTGGGAAAATCGTCGTTTCATTTACTGCCAATTTTACTTAAAACCGTCATAGTATGATGGAAGAAAATTAGAGGATTTTATTGATATTGAAAATCGTTCTTAATATCAATATGGTTGGTTCAAGTAGTAAACAGTTTAATATCGTTTAAGTAAAGTCTTAGATTCAAATATTTGTATATGCAAAAAATCCTGTTAGGAGACTCACCCACCAAAACCAAGTGTGTGACCAAGGTCGATCCAGATTAGTCAAGGCGAAACCTTGGAACTTGAGGGGGGAAATCGTCCATAATAATTGATAAGTTTGACAAAATTTTTAATTCTAACATTAAAAATAGTTTGTCTCAGTAATTAATGATTTCGGTGATAAAAAGATTAAAATGAAAGAAAATAAAAATAAATAACAATGTTAAAAAACAATATGTGTGCGTTTATACATGTCATAGACACGAATATTGACACATATTAGGGTAGACAATCGGGGGAGTTCAAAAATACTTAATCTTGATTCATCGACTCTAACTAAAAAAAATCGAGTAATTATTTAAGAAAAATTATCCGACCGGGCAAGTTAGGTCCGGATCACAAAATTAAATTATTTTGGGTACTCGGTTACCCGAATACTCGGTTACATTTATTCCTCTGTATCAGACAATGCTTACCATCCCCTTGGAACAATTCGTGTCTTTTGCTTGATCGAGCAAGAATTTGTATCGACCATTGTGCAGGCAGTGGACTTAAAAATGTAGTTCCATATAAAAAAAAATTACATATTTAATTATTAATAAATTTATATATTAAATTAAACTAATAAAATTTAAAAAAAAACACCCACGCAACAGTTGTATGTTTAATAACTAATGGGCGAAACTATCGGGCCGCTAATCAAACTCGACTACTAAACTGAATGGGGCATGCGCAGTAGATTCGCTCGAATGGTTGTTCGTATCGATCTCTCTAAACGCTCGATCTCAAAGCTTTTGTTGGATGGAAAATTGCAGGTCATTGAGTATGAATCACTTCCCACAATTTGTTTCAAAGGTGGGAAGTATGGTCACAACCAAGGGGTCTGTTCTATAGTCCAGACAGAAGATAACACCGAAACCAATACTCCTCCACAGACCAATGTTGCACCGCATCCCAATAGCGACACTTATGAGTTATGACCCTTGGATTGTGGCTTCTCATCGAACTCGTCGTAAAAACAAATGCAGCAGTGAAAAGAAACCTCAAACTGACAAACTCATGTTCAATGGCTGAAGGTTTAACCCCATCTTTGAAGTCGAGACTGAGAAAGACCTTTCAGCTACTGTTCCCGATCATCCACAAGCTCCTCAACAGACAAGGGTGCTTGCTGCAAACCCTAATGTCAAAACAAAGAATAAAGACAGAAGTGTAGTTACTCCCCGACAGCCGAAAGCCACCACCATCCGTAAACCTTTAACCATCAACCTCTCAGACTTCCCCACCTTGTCTCGACAACTTGACAAAGCCAGCAGCTCCAAGTTTAGCTTAAACTCCAATAGAGGCTTCTTCTTCGACAAAACTAGACATTCGGCTATAGTCATTGATGAAAATGCAGACCCAAATATTCCTCCTGCTAATCCTTAACCAGCACCGGATAACATCAATAAAATGAACCATTGGGAGACCCTCTGGATAAGACAACGAATCCTATCTGTGACTTCCGGGAAGTTACGTAGACAATAGTACTCGTATTGATGTTATTTCCGACGTTGTAAGCCTTAACTTGGGTGGAGACCTTGCTGTGGCAATGCTTGAATAAAGTATGATCCTCCTTTTCTTTTCTTTATGGATTTAAAATCACTATGTTGGAATGTCCAGAGATGCGGTGACTCTCGTTTCCTTCTGGCGGCTAAACAAATTCTTCACGATAACAAACCTGACTTGTTGGTTTTTAATGAACCTCATATTAGTGGTTCAAAAGCAGACTATGTTATCTCCACTGTTGGTTTTCCTAACTTAAATCGGACTGAGGCCTCTGGTTCTTTCGGCAGTATATGGGTTGCTTGGTATGATACTATCTTCGTGACTATCCTTATGCATCATTTTCAGTTTGTTCATTGTCGGACTACTCTACGAAGCAACAACTCCTCCTTCTTAGCCACGGCAGTTTATGCTAGCCCATCTGCTTCAAGACGTAAACTCTTATGGCCTCATCTCAGGCGTCTTGTGACTTCAATTAATTCTACTTGGATTCTTTTTGGAGATTTCAATGCAACTTTATTTGATTCGGATAGAAAAATTTATGCTATATCTGCCCGACCTTTCAGTGCGTTCCAAAATCTCATTTTCGACTATGGGCTTCGGGACATAAACTACCAAGCTCCTGATTATACATGGTCGAGAGGACACTCCCAAGTTCGTCTAGATAGATTCATTTATAACAACTATTGGGATGAGAACTTTGCTGAAGCCATGGTCCATCATCTTCACCAAAGCTGCGAATACTTGGAATAAATATGTGTTTGGTTACATTGGGAAAAAGAAACGGATTATCATGGCTAGACTCTGGTATTCAAAAGGCCATTTGCATGAGATCCTCCCAATTCTTGCAAAATCTGGAATATAATCTTCTCATTGATCTTGAACACCTCCTTGATCAAGAACTTCTTTGGAGGTAAAAATCTCGATCAGATTGGATTTCTCTGGGTGACCGTAACACATTATTTTCATCGCAAAGTCATCTGCCGCAAGCAGTAAAATAAAATTGTTGCTCTCAAAATCAATAGCGTCGATTGGTGCAACAATGAGGTTTCTCTTAAAGAGGCGACAACTCATTTCTTTCAATCTTTATTTGCTTTGGATTCGCAACACACTGGTTTCTTCCCTCTACGAGGCACGCTTCTGTCTATCCCTCAAGATACTATGCGGCGGCTTGATGATGTCCCTTCAAATGAAGAAATTCATTCAGCCCTCATGAGCATGGCTTCTTTGAAATCCCTGGGATGGGATGGACTCCATGCAGAGTTCTATCACATGGCCCATTGTGGGGGATTCAATTTGTAAGATGATCCAAGCGAATTTTTAATGGGAACGTGATTAAGTCTGATCTTAACAAGACAATTTTAGTTCTCATCCCAAAGTATGATCAACTGGAAACTTTTGTTGACTTCTAACTTATAATCCTCTATATGGTACTATACAAGATCCTTACGAAGACCATTGTTAATCGGTTAAAGCCTATCTTCTCTACTCTTATCGGCCAAAATCAAACAAGCTTAATTACGATCCGCAATATAACCGATAACATCATCATCAACCAAGAGGTAATTCACTCGATGAAATCCTGTAAACGCAAAGAATGATGGATGGCCATAAAGGTAGACTTGGAGAAAGCCTTTGATCGGGTTCGATGGGACTTCATCCTTGATTCATTAATTGATACAGGCTTCTCGCCAATAATTAGACGGATCATTATGGAATGTATCTCTTCCTAAACAATGCAAATTCAATGGAATGTGAGCCTTTCGCAAACCATTCGACCTAAACGAGGTATTCGTCAAGATGACCCCCTCTCTCCCCTACCTTTTTGTTCTGGTTATGGAGTGTCTAGGTCACTTAATCCACAGTTCTGTCACCGCAAAACAATGGGATCCTTTCCGTTTTGGTAGTTTTGAAATTCTCATCTCGCATCTATTCTTTGCGGATGATCTCATCCTATATGCCAAAGCCACTTTAGTTCAAGCCGAATGTATCCGAAGTATTCTTCAGGTCTTTGGCAGCTTCTTTGGCCATCGGGTTAGTTCTCGAAAGTCCCATGTGTATTTTTTGCCAAATACTATTAATAGTACTAAACACCGAATCAGTGGATTCCTTGGTTACCAAACGGTTGAATCTCTCGACAAATATTTGGGGGTTCTGTTCCTCCATGAAAGACCAAAATGCTCGGATTATGATTCTATCATTGAAAAGATGAAAATACAACTTTCAGGTTAGGCTGCTCGATCTTTATCCATGGTTGGTCGGATTACCTTGGCTAAATCAGTCATTGCGGTAATCTCGGTTTACTTCATGCAAACCTCAATGCTCCTTCGCACTGTATGGAACAAAATCAAAAAAAAAAATATGCGATAGTTCATATGGGGATCGACGTTCACCTCCCCTAAAGTCTCTCTAGTTAATTGGGAGACGTTATGTCAGCCAATTACTCACGGAGGTCTCGGCATGCAGAAGAGCTATGATTTCAACTTGGCGTTTATTCTTAAAATATGCTTCACCTTGGTCTCTAAACATGATCATTTATGGGTTCGCATTCTCCAACAGAAATATAAAATGGTTAGCCTCTGCCCTGACTCAGTTAGCCGTAGTAGGTGTTCTCTTCTATGGAAAGCCATTGTTTCAGCTTGGAAGGACCTCAGAGCGAGTATTGTGTGGTCAATTGGGAATGGTAACACAACCCATCCCTTCTATGACACTTGGATACCTTCCATTGGTCCTTTATGCAACCACGTAAAGAACCTGAATCAAAACTTGGCTCTGGCCACCTTTGAAGAACTAACTGACAGCATTAGCAATTGGAATTTCTCCAAACTATTAGACATATTCCATGATGAGACAATTTCCCATATCCGTGGAATAAGATGTCCCGATGCTTCGGACTCGGACGATTAACCCTACTGAGGCACTAACATCAAGAACACCTTTGAAACAATGTTGGCTTATAGCAACTGAACCGCTCTTACTTGGGATGATAAACTCCTGATATGGAGTTCAATATAGGTGTTACCCCCTACCCCAACGACTTCGACTCTTCTTGTGGCTGTCGTTCAAGCAGAAATTATTAACAAAATCTGAGAGACACCACCGAACCATTGGTAGCTCACCCTTCTGTCCATGCTGTCATAATTATCAAGAAATGACCATCCATGTGTTGCGTAACTGCATCAAAGCTAAAGCTGTCTGGAATTGCCTTATCCCTCCATACCTGACCGATTCTTTTTATCTCAGTGTCCATCAGAAGTGGATTCAGGATAATATTCTCAGCCAATCGATTATCTCACACTGGGACCTTCCTTGAAGTACTTTATTTGCTGTAACTCTTTGGCAGATATGGAAGAGTATAAACGACAAAGTATTTAATAACATTCATCATAATAGAGACGCCACCCTAGGAAGTAGCTTCTCCTGGGGCCGTTACTAAACAGAAAGCAAAGTGCATTCAACATCCAATCGTGCCACCCCGAACCAGCAGCAGCAGGTTGATTGGAAAACTCCCGAGCCCGGTTAGATGTGCTTGAATGTTGATGGAGTTGTCTCGTCCACCACTAAACATGGAGCCATCAGTGGAGTATTTAGAGACAATGAAAGATCATGGATCCTTGGCTTTAACAAAGCTCTTGGAATCTTACAACCACTGCATGCTGAATTATGGGCAATTTACGTTGGCCTTCAGATTGCTTGGGACCATGGGTTTGTATTTCTTGTTATTCAATCTGATTCCATGGAAGTCGTTAACCTTCTGAACAAATCGGACGCTCATTCCAGCCCTTTTCCTTTGGTACGTTCCATCGAGAAGCTTCGAAAGCAAGCTTGGGTCACTACTATCTAGTGGATTTCTCGAAGTGGAAACTCTCTTGCTAATACAATAGCCAAGTCTTCTATCTCTCAAAGCTTTAATACTCATATTTTCGAAGAGCCACCAGCAGACCTGCAGCAGCTTCTGCTTAATGATACTTTGACTACATTTCAGTTGTAAACTTTGAGTTTCTGCATTCTTCTCTACAATTCAAAACAAATTAATGGGATGTTCCGCAAACAACTGATAGATGATAGTTGCTAGATGATTCCAATAGCTGGTTTGACCAACTGTTTTGATTAGTGGATTTAATTAGTTGATTTGAGAAACTGATTTGATTAGTTTTTTATGTATAAGTGTTTGGTAAAATATAGATGATAGCTGATATGGGTAAAACGACAAACAAGAATATGATACATTTAGTTGTTAAGTACATATATATTTTATAATACTTTAGTTTTTATTGGGATGAAGTTATTCAGATAAAATGCTTTTGAAAAGGAATTAAAAATTCCTTAAAAAATTTGGTGAATATTTTTTAATATATTTTTTAAATTTAATATTTACAAATATTAACCTTGTGAGATTGATACATATTATTAACATTGTATAAAATATCAACACTACATTTTTTTTACTTTCATGTTTTGTAATATTTTCTTAACTAAAATATATTTGAGAATCTACAACTAAAAAATAGATTAATAAAATAAAATTTCACTAAAATGTATTAGGATGGGGTCTATTTCATTAGATTAGGTTTTATGGAAATTATGTAATTATGAAAATAATAAGGTCAAATATGTCATTTAACATCTTATTTTGCAATCAGTTCTCCCAAACCACTGGATTTTCTAGCGTTTTCATTTTCAGCTTATTTTACACAATAAACTCTTTCAAAAAAATGTTTACCAAACACTAAAAATGAAATGCTTGACTATTAGTAAGTTATTTATGCTCAAATAAGCTAAAATATTTTTAAAAAGTGTTTACCAAACATCCTCAATATAATATTTTGTTTCATAATATAAGTTGTATGTTGTTTACCAATAAGCCATAAATGGTGGTCGTTCGGTCCTAAATTTCATGGGTCGTTTTATCTCGACATCGTGAGTCTGAATTCGACCTACATTTTATAGAAACTTGCTCTGAATTCCACGAATTAGAGATTAAAAGTGAAGGAACCAAAATGTTTCAGTAGAGATTCACGGGTTTTAGGACATTTTCTGTGAAACAATCACTAGACTCGGATTCAGGGGTTGACAAACCGAACCATGAAATTTGGTACCCAACGACCACCATCTACGGCAGTCGATGGTGACCGACGGTGGTGTCCGACAACATTATATTTTTATTTTATATTTTCAATTATGTATTAAATAATAAAAAAAATCCATATCATACCAAAATAATAAAAAAAAATAATTTACAGTGATCAAAACATGAGCAATTCAAAATTTTAGTGAGTAAATTAAAAAAATTAAAAGTATAATGAGTGAAATAAGAGAGTATAGTTTAGTGAGGAATAGTGTAATTTACCCTTATAATTATTGAATTTCCAAATTTCAAACATGGTGAAAGATTGAAGTCGCAGTGCAAGAGCGTCAGTAATATAATAGAGAAAATCGCCTCAGTGACCAAAAATGTCTTATAATATACGATTTTAATCAACTTTTTTTGGATTTGCCAAAATGACCAACAAAATCGCAACGCGATATCAAAATCGCAACGCGATTTAGAAAATCGCAACGTTGAAAAGAAAATCGCAACGGTCAAAAGAAAATCGCAACGCGATCTTCCAAGAATCGCAATGCGAGCCAAAGAATCGCAATGCGATCTTCGAAGAATCGCAATGCGATTCAAAGAATCGCAACGCGATCGAGAAAATAATCGCAACGCGATTGAGAAAATCGCAACGCGATTCCAAGAATCGCAACGCGAT